GGCTAAAGTATTCAATTGAGAGTTTATTAACATTTTGGAATTTAAAAAGTTTAGAGGTATTCGATTGAGATTTTTGTGACTCTCTAAAAGTATTGATGTATTCAATTGAGACTTTTATAAACTTTAAAAAAGTCCCTAAAACCTACGGTATATTCAATTAAAACTTTTAAAAGTCTTTATAAGTCTCTGAGTATTCAAATTTTAATGACTTTTAAAAATTTTATAAAAGTCTTTGGAGTATTAACTTTTAAGTAGAAAGTATTCATATAAAATCTTCAAATTTGTTTCTCATTAATCACGAGATTTTGGGAGACTTTTCCTTTTTTTTTTTTCCCTTCAATCTTTCTTTTCTTTTACCTTCTACAGATATGATTAAAATTTATTTATTTTTCTATTCATTATATTTATTTCCATCTCTCTCTCTCTCTCTCTCTCTCTCTCTCTCTCTCTCACACACACACACACACACACACATTGTTTATATCTATTTTCTATGAAAAATTAAATTGGATTTTTGTAACTTTTTTTTCCCTTTTTCATTCATTTTTTTTTTGAAAAATACTATTGTTTTATTAAATTATAAAATTTTATATGAAAAATTTAAAATTAAATTAAAATATAATGATTTTTATTTATTTTTAAAAGTATATCATATTAATAATATTAAATATTAAATTTTTTTTTATCATATATATATATATATATATATATATACACATATATATATTTGATTATTATTTATTTAACTAAGGTCTTGAATTTTTATTTTTTTTATTATATGGAAAGAAGGAGGGAAGGAAAAGGGGAATTGTGGGATTGTATGTGAGAATTTCATACCATCATATTAGATTCCCATGAATTCTACTTCAAATAAAAGTTTTTAAAACTCTTTTAAATTCGACAAAAGTCATAAAAATTTTCAAATGAAAGTCCATAAAAGTCTATGAAAGACTTTTATTAATTCTATACAAATCTATAAAAGATCCACAGAAGTCATTACTTAAAAAAAAAGTCCACCAAAGTTTTCAAAAGACCCAACTGAATATATTCCCCTAAGTAGCGCATATGAATCGAATTTCAGTTTCCTAGTTAACCTTCTGTAATTGATAATACTCATCTAACTCGAGCAATTTTCACAGGCATGACTCCTTTGAAATAAAGATAAGGTTTTGGAACTAATGATTGAATGCTTGAAACTTTACTCTCCTTTTTTTTTGGAATATTAATTGAGGAGATGTATACATGTTGACTTATTATGCATTCAGAAACACGCAGTGCTTTTCATGTTAGGAATTGAGGAGTGAACAAATTTGCTGATCCCAAAAAAACCCAGAATTTTCATGGAAAACAGTTCTATCAATGAAAAACCTGTATATCAGAGGCCAACGCCAACACATATACAATCAGAATAACTGATCTAGAGGGCAGATAGATATGTTGAACAACATGATAATTATTCTAGTGTTGCATGGTAAGATTACTTCAATTCTTGCTATTCGTGAAGGTCAGCTAGATACCAATTGCAGACGAATAAAAATAAGCAATTGAATGCATTTGATTCATCTATATTCATGTCAATAATTGATTAGCTCTTTTAACAGTAAAGTAGTAACAAAAAACTTGAAACTAAATACGATGACCATCTTAAATAAAACCTGTGGATGTTGATCCTGTATTTTTGGCAGACATTGTTGGGAAATTATGTGACGGGAACAATACATAATTAAGGTATTAACTATACACAATTTCAATTTTAATAAACTACATCTAAACTTTCAAAAATCAGGTCATAATTACGATTTTATTAATTAAATAAATATTTTTCTAATATAATATATTATAGTCACAACATTACATAATTTTTGGTCACAATTGCTCGATTATAGGTCACAACTTATTTATTAATCATATATTATCATCACAATTTTTATAAGTCACAACTTATTCGTCAAATTTTCAAATTAATTGATCACAAATTATTTTTTGATCTCAAATTTTATAAATTTTAGGTCACAATTAAATGGCTCACACATTATCTTTCGATCACAAATCACAAATTTGATAAGTCACAACTTATTCTTCGATCACAAATTTTCAAATTAGTTAGTCACAAATTAAATAATTTTTAGGTCACAATTAAATTGTTAGTCACAAATAACCAAATTGCAAGTCACAAATTAATCAAATTGTTGGTCACATCTACCAGACACCCCACTTCCACCTTCGATCTCGATCTACCACCGTCGCAAATGGTCACACTCTTTTCTTCCCACCTCACCCGTCGCAGCACCACCACAACTGCCACCAACATCGACCACAACACTACCACCACTGATCACAACACATCAACAATGCACACTACCATTGTACCCAATCACCGCACACAAAAAAATTACTGGAGACGATGGATGCGAAGCGTAGCGCCCAAACCAGCAGCATCAGATCTGAGCACAGATCGATCGACGACGCACCACCACACCCATTGGGAACAAAAATAAAATAAAATAATAAAATAAAATTGGGATTAAATTTCATGCTTTGGATTTCTCAATTTTAGAATATGAATTTTAATCTTACGTTTTAAAATTTTAGATTTTTTTGTTGGGGGGGGGGGGGGGGGACAAAATTTAACTGTTGACATTGAGTTCCTATTTGCATTCTGGTGATTATAATTGAATGAATTAAGGGATGCAAGCTTAAAAGGTTGATCTTTTACTCGAATTTTAGTAAGAGAATAAATTTGGCAATTTCGTCCATGTCAGTTTGTTTAATCCCTAATTTCCTTGTTTTAAGCATTATAAAGTTTGTGATTCTACAACTGTGGTGTAATTATATCTAATGGAAAGATTTTAGTGTGTTGGGAATTAGAGAGAAAGTGGGTATACAAGTGGCTGCTTCAATTAAGAAAGTTAAGGTTTCTGGTGGGTTTTCGTTGGGTAGTTGTGGCATCGTTGACTCGCTCGTCAGTTTTTCTTTTTCTTTTTAAATTTTCAAGAATATAAAAATACATAAAATAAAATTATAAATGGACAATCAATTTCAAATCTTAACTTAAGATTTATTTCGGATATTTAGTTTTCTAAAATAGATTAGTTGAAACAATATGTTACCCAAGTAACCTCTCTTGCCTAGATTAATTTTGGAATATTAGGAAGGTAGTATATATGTAATTCATGTGGATATTCACCGGCCCAAAGGGGCACTCTGTCTAATAAGATAACTACCAGGAAATTTCTTAAATTAATATTCCAAAATGCTTTGCGAAAGGACGATAAGGTTGAATTTGTTATGCTTTTAGCAAACTTGATTTCACTAAAGTATAAGACTAAAGAAAATATGGAATACATTATGGATGGTCTCATCTTGTTTCAAAATCCAAGGCATTAAAGTTTGACTTGTTTGATGACTTGCTCGTACATATGGTTTTGATCTCTCTTTCTACACAATTCAAATAATTTAAGGTCAGTTATAGTTATCAAAAGGGGAAGTGGACTCTTAGTGAGCTCATTTCGTATTGTGTGCAAAAAGAAGAAAGTCTAAAGTAAGAGAGAACTGAAAGTACTTACTTGACAAGTACCTTTAAGGACAAGTTAAAGAATTAAGAAAGCTGCATCCAATTCGATTCAAAAGAAACAGTAAACATCTGAAAATGATAAATCATCTAGTTATTACTTTTGTGAAAAAATCTGGGACACATAAAGATAGATTACACTCAATACTACGCTTGGCGTGTAAATAAAGTACAATTCTCACTTTGGTTTGTTCTGTGGTTAATTTAGTTTGAATACCAATACACATTTGACGGATAAATTTTGGTGTCACTATTTATATAAGTATGTCTATGCGGGGTTGCCTAAACTGCTAAAAGCCAATTGATACTAAAAGATTCGTCTATATGGGGGTGATGTCAAATTAGTTAAAGTTGGGGTTATAAGGACTTTTAGGTTATTATTAAAGACTGGTTATTATTTGAATTTGAAATAGACATTCAAGCTATCGTCTTCTTAGATGAAATTTGATTTCTATTTCTACATTGAACAAATTCATTTACTTTTGTTCAATTTTAATTAGTACGTTTAGTCTTTTTCTTAATTCAAATATTATGGGTACCAGTCCTTTATTCAGTTATGATAAATTGACCAATGAGAATTCTGCTTTGTTATGACATAAGCGTATATGTCACATCTCTCAAAAGAGAATAGAAAATATTGTGTCAAAAGGAATTCTTGATTCCCTAAATTTTTCATACTCGAGTGTTTACGTTAATTATATTAAAGGGAAACAAACAAACATAGAGAAATTAGGTGCCAATAAGACTTCGAACATTTTAGAACTAATTCATAACGATATCTGTGGGCCATTTCCTTCGACTTCTTGGAATGGTCAACAATCATTTATCTCTTCATAGACGATTATTCTTGCTATGACCACCTATATCTCATTCATGAAAATTCTTAGTCACTGGACATGTTGAAGACATATAAGGCTGAAGTTGAAAACTAACTCGGCAAATGAATAAAACACGTTATATCTGACCATGGTGGTGAATACAATAATAGATATGATGGATCAGGAGAATAATGTCCAGGGCCTTTTGCTAAATTCCTTAAGGAATGTGGAATCGTTTCGCAGTACACCATGCCAAGTTCTCCTAGCATGAACGATGTTGATAAAAGACGGAATATAACACTTAAGGACATGGCAAGTAGTAAGATTAGCCATTCCACACTACACCAAAATCTCTTTAAGTTGAAGCGCTAAAGATTGCAGTTTGAATTTACAATAAAGTTTCAAGTAAAGCAACTGTTAAAGGGTTACAAATTTTAATGATCCCACTAGTAGGTCAAATTTTTTTTGAAATGAAAAATGCCCAATTCTTTGAGAATGTAGAGTTTTTGGGGGAAGATAAGGTTAGTGGTTTTGTCTTTGAGAAAGAATATATAACTATTCCTTCTGTTGCAATTGGTTATGATCTGGACCAATAGGGATGGCAAAAAGGCTCGAGGGCTCGGGCCGTCGGTTCGGCTCGAGGCTTGAGAATATCGAGCCTAGGCTCGGGCCGAGCCCCATCTTGGGGTGTTGGGCCGAGCCAAGCCGGCCCATGTGACTCGCAGGCCGGCTCGGAAAAAAAAACTAGAAAAAGGGAAAAAACAGAGTTGGCTCGGCTCGATAAGGCCCGAGTCGAAAGCTCGAGCCGAGTTTCAACTTTTTGGCAGAGCTTTTGCTCGGCTCGGCTTGAGCCAAAAAAAGCCCATCTTCAAAAAGCTCGAGGCTAGCCCGAACCTTGATTTTTGGCTCGCGTGCCGGCTCGGCTCGGCTCATTGCCATCCCTAGCCACAACTAAGGTCTAATAAAGTCTTAACTGGCCATATCAAGTAAGACCAGTGTACCAAGGCACCTAAAATGCTATATAGAGGAGCTCAGACCAAGTTCAAACTGGAAGCCAAGCACAAGAAAATCTAATAGTAGCAGAATTAAATGAACGTGTATCAATCTGTACACTGTTATAGCTGATAATATCTTTTAAAATAAACTGTTAGTTTTTTACTACAAACTTACATAGCAAGACCTAGTTATTCCAGGCCAATATTGATTCAAATGGAGAAGGGAAATAGCTCCAGATACCATAGACTATTCAGCATTCTAATACTCCTCTCGTTCTCGGAACCAATCCATTGTATAGATCTGTCCACATAAATGAAATAATGGTCCTACTCGGATCTAAGCATGCATAGATATTTGAAGCATAATCTTGACCTTATAATACTTCAAATTTGGCGACTGGATGCAATTTCCCAATTCTAGCTAAGGTGTGTACACTAAACCTCGTGTTCCGTCAATATGCATCCAAGCTTCTTCTTATTGCCTAAAAATCAATTCTGTTAAACAAGAAAAAGGGAGAAAAGAGAGTAGAACTACACCATGAAGATATCGAATAAATATTCCCTCCTAATTTTTGTCTTAACCTTTTTGATGTCCATCCAGAAAATCTCCAATCAAACAGATACTATGACTACTACACAGATCCTTAGGGATGGTGAGACAATAATCTCGTCGGGTGGCATCTTTGAGTTGGGATTCTTCAGCCCCGGAAATTCCAAGAATAGATACGTGGGCATGTGGTACAAGAATATAACGGACAAGAAGGTAGTATGGGTTGCCAACAGAGAAATTCCAGTCTCAAATACATCAGGAGTAGTCTTAAAGGTTATCGAGCCAGGACTTCTAGTTCTTCTAAATGAATCTAACGGTCGTATCATATGGTCATCTAATACATCCCGACCTGTGAAAATTCCAGTTGCAGTATTGCTTGACTCAGGAAACTTAGTTGTGAAAGATGCAAATGATGATGACCAGGGGAATTACCTTTGGCAGAGTTTTAATAAGCCGACTGATACATTGTTACCAAGAATGAAGCTTGGTTGGAACTTTATAACTGGTCTGGAGGTCTATCTATCACCATGGAATAACAGTGACGATCCATCTTCTGGAGATTCTACATTTCACTTTGATCCCAGTGGTTATCCACAACTTGTTATGAGAAGAGGTTCAGTTGTGGTGTTTAAAACCGGACCTTGGAATGGGCTGAGCTATAGTGGGACGCCAAACTTGAGGAAAAATCCTAATTTCAAATTTGGAATAGTTATAAATAAAAACGAGGCATACTATGCTTATGAGCTACTTGGATCAATTATTTCAATGTACACAGTGAATCCAAGCAGGGTTGCTCAGCGTTTGATATGGGTTAGTCGAACGCGAGGGTGGGTGATTCAACACACTGCTCCAATAGATAATTGTGATACTTATAAAGTGTGTGGCGCATATGGTAGTTGCAATATTGTGAATTCTCCTATTTGTGGATGTTTGGATAGATTTCTGCCTAAAGATCCAAAAGGTTGGGATAGGGCAGATTGGTCGGCTGGATGTGTTAGAAGAACTTCCCTGAATTGTCAAAATGGAGATATATTTCTCAAGTATTCCGGTATTAAATTGCCAGACACACAATATTCCTGGTTTAACGAGAGTATGAAACTCGATGAATGCAAGGTAGCGTGCTTAAAGAATTGCTCTTGTATGGCTTATAGTCCATTGGATATGAGCACAGGAGGAAGTGGATGCCTACTTTGGTTCAAAGACCTAGTTAACATCAGAGAGCTTTCTAAAGCAGGACAAGATATCTACATTAGAATGGCTTCTTCCGAATTAGGTAAGAAACTAAGAATTGAATAAACAAATTCTTTACTCTTGTCATATTTTCTTTCATATATAACCTGTGTACTTATCACTTTCAAGGTTGTATAATCATTGGAAAAGATATCATTTTATTTGCATATAAAATTTTGCAGAGTTACAAGGAAAGAACAAAAAAGTTCTTGAAGTAAGTTTGTCGTTGTCAATAGGAATATTCCTGCTTGGGCTTATTCTGATGCTGTATCTTCGAAGAAGGAAGAAAAGAAATCACAGGTTCAGAACAGGCAGTAAGCAAACTCCTTCATTTCCTACTATAGACAATAGGAGTAACCAAGATTATCCATATTCAGCTAATTTCAATCCTTCTTTTACTTTTCTCTATCATGTTACATCCAAATCATTGGTTTCGTTTCAGGCAGGCCAGGAGACAACTATATCGACCGTGATAATAAGAAAAGTCGTGATGAAGATATAGAGCTACCACTGTTCGATTTATATACACTAACTAAAGCTACCAATCATTTTTCAATTAATAACAAGCTTGGGGAGGGAGGGTATGGACCTGTTTACAAGGTAATGTATATTTAGTTTTTTCAATATAATAGGGAAGGCACCACAAATGATCAAATATTTTGCTCCCAGAATCCTTTGAAAATTTACTCTTAATTTCATGAGAGATTAACTCTTTAAACTAAAAGGAATAAACGTCACGATAAGTCAAATGTGAAAAGTGAGTGGAAGATGAATTGTGCAAAACAAATACTATTTTACTTGCACCTGTTTCATTATATAGGGACTGTTAAAGGAGGGGCAGGACATTGCTGTCAAACGGCTATCAAGAGATTCTCTCCAAGGGCGTGATGAGTTCAAGAGTGAAGTTATCTGTATAGCTAAACATCAGCATCGAAACCTTGTGAAGCTTCTAGGGTGCTGCATTGAAGGAGAAGAAAAGATGTTAATTTATGAATACATGCCTAATGGAAGTTTGGACTTGATTCTATATGGTAAGAATTATTGACCTCGCACAATCAGCTCAATATCACATTCCATCAGGAGTACCAATTATAAGTAATGACACATATTTTGAATCCCGGAGCAAAAAGTTTCTGATCTTTTGTAATACTGGGTACAGGACATAGTTATTCTGTTATACATGCAGTTTTAGTGCTACTGTACGCTTGAAGTTATTTAGTTATAGATATTGGATTTGATTTCTTATTTCCTCATTTCCAAATATCAAACAAACAAATCATCCTCATAAGCAGAGAAAAACATTTTGCAGATCCAATGCAAAGTGCAGTGCTTGACTGGCCTAAGCGCTTTCACATTATCAATGGTATTGCTCGGGGTCTTATGTATCTCCATCAAGATTCCCGTCTAAGAATAATCCATAGAGACCTCAAAGCTAGCAACATTTTGTTAGATTCTAATATGATCCCAAAGATATCAGACTTTGGCCTGGCTCGATGTTTTGGAGGAAACGAGACTGGAGCTAATACGAGCCACGTAGTTGGAACATAGTAAGAATCTCAATCCCTTATTATATGAAATGCTCTTCTATTGCGCATAACATAAGTTCCTTATAAATTTTATCACCACATAGTGGCTACATGTCCCCAGAATATGCTATAGATGGCCATTTCTCAGTGAAATCAGATGTATATAGCTTTGGTGTTTTGGTGCTTGAGATAGTGAGTGGCAAAAGAAATAGAGGATTTTCTCACAGAGATCACCACCACAACCTTCTTGGACATGTAAGTATAGTTTACTTATTTCTATGTTCTTGACAAAAAAAATTTCTTTTTAGCATTTAGATTAGGAAAGATAGTCCTTTTAACTTAGTTTTGTAAGTACAGGCATGGATATTGTATAAAGAAGGAAGGTCTTTGGAATTAGTCGATGCTTGCATTGATGTCTCGGGCTATTTATCAGAAGTGCTTCGATCGATCCATGTGGGACTTTTATGCGTTCAACAATCTCTACAAGATAGGCCAGGCATGTCTGCAGCTGTGTTAATGTTGGGGATTGAAAGTTTGTTGCCCCAAGCTAGACAACCTGGTTTTTTCACAGAAAGAGATGCTGAAAGTTCAAGTAGCACAAACACTGCAAAATCAGAAAACCAAATGACCATTTCAATGTTGGAAGCACGATAAGAAAATAAGATACAGTAATTACCCCTATGTTGCTTTTATCGTTCTTCAACCAAAATACTGCATTTGTCTTCCATTACAAACATTAGTTTTACATTAAAGAAATAACCTTCTCCTCTGTAATTGATGAATTTGTTAAACATGATAGCACTGGCAAAAACGATCTACTGAGTAAGTCAATAGAGATTGGTATTTTATTCTAATCAGGTCAGTGTCAGATATCCTACCAACTTAGGTATGCGATTTGTCTTGACTGTGATGAAAGTTATGTTGAAAGTATTGACACCAGTACATTATGTGAGAATTAATTTCTATCCCATGAACGTACACAGAAATTAATTTACACTTGACTGTCATACGTATAACCTTATTCAGCTACGGAATGGAGAACTTGCCATCAGTTGCATACTCCCAAATTTTCCTCAAAATTAGGTCATGGGGCACTCATTAAATTTTATAGAGGTTATCTGAACTTAAAGTTACAATTACAAATGGAATCAAATTTGAAAACCCGAATGAAGTCTATTGAAATATTATGAAACTTTAAATCTTAATAATATGAAAACCTAATTACTCTATTTCGAAGATTCTCTATGACAAATCACCAAGAAAATTAGTAATGCGGAACCATACCTTAATTCTTTAGGAATGATTCTTTATTACTTGATCTTAATTCCGGATCTTGCATCTTGAAATCCCTTCTTGATTGGTTTCTTGCTTTTAATCTTGAATTTTGCTTCCTTGAATTCTTTGATTCTTGTTCTTGATTTTGCTCCTTGATCTATAATCTTGATTCTTGATTGTATATTGTATATTCTTGATTGTAGATTTTCGATCTTCCTCTTCAATATGCCTTCTCTCTAAATTCTTGTGTTGATGGGATGACACGGAATGACAAATTGCATATGAATTGGGGATCATAACCCAATATATAGTTTCCATATATATTTCGTCCATCATAAAATGCAATTCTAAAGGAATTCAATCTCTACATATATAATCCGGCCCAAACTCTATTTAGATGTCTTAAACCCAATTCTTTCATTCTTTATTAGATAGCTTTAATTTTGGACTAAACTTTAAAATAAAATTTATACACAATTAATTACATGTGTTGGCCTACATGGCAAATTAAATAACTTCCCAACAATCTCCCACTTTGGTCACATATGTTACCTTATAAATGTGTATAATTGTATAAGCTCAAAACTTTTGCTATTATAACCAAAAGGCATTTTCGAACAATCTCGTCCATTAATTATGCTAATATAGGATAAAGTGATATTCGTTACAATTATATTAACTAAACCCTCAATGATCACGTATATTAACATAATCAAATGACATAGATCGAGTGTTGATGTATAGCATGGAAATTACATTCAGTGTGATCTAAACATGCCTATTTCCAATTTGTCATATTTAGGAGATCAAACTCAAACTTTAATCAGAGTGAAATTAAATTGAATACTTTGTTTCTGAAATAAATCAAATATTTATGGATAGAATTATGTGGCCAAAATCGACAACATTTGAATACAAACTCACACTTGACAAGACTCGTCCTGAATCGTCCTAGTGGACCCGAAATGTGACGTGCACCGATGATAGATGCTGACTATATGTCAAATTTATCACCAATGTTGATTATGAGTTATTTCAAAAAAATGCATCATAATCAAATTCTTATGTAAAACATAATGCAATGGGTCCAAATTATTTACTTCGTACTTCATCAATATGAGTTATAACACCCAACATGTCGTGTGGCTCTCATTCCGAAATCATTAGGCTCTTCCAGCTAAAAAGAATCAATTGTTACCTGTAGGAAAATTAAGGAAAAATATATGAGTTGATAGCTCAGTGAGTGGAGAAGTTCAAAAATAATTATACTTTTCAATTTTACATTTTTATTGAAAATTGAGTTCATATCATTGAATAACTTGCAAGACAACATTATATAGTTATAGTCAAAACATGAGACATTCACATAACGTGGAAAAATATCATCTCAAGTCATAATATGAACATAAGTTGGTAATCATGCTATAATCTCATCACATCAAATGTACTGAAAAATTCACCAAAAATGTAGCATTTGATTAAAATCTGTAATCCACCCCTCGGGCTAAGAACTTTCGCCAAGTGCCTTTGGCCCTCTTCGTGAATGAAAGCCGATCTTACAAACCTTTCATAATCAATCCTAAAACATGGCTAAGGCCCTTTTGTGAACTATATGTACACGGTCAAGACCAATGTCGGGTCAAGACCCCTCTATGTAGGATAGAACACGGCTAAGTCCCTTCTGTGAACTAGAAGAAGTATATAATCATGGATATTTTTCTGGTCGATCTCAATATTACATGTCTCACATACCAAACAAATCTCAATATCACATGTCTTACATACCAAGTAACAAATGTGCCATAAATAATCTTTGAAATTTACATGTATCATAATAAAAGAACTTTCTATAATAATCATATAATCGAACATATAATTGCACATACCTTGGTAATATACTTAAGTTATAAATACTTCAAAAATATTTATATTTTTCCACTAACAAAACTATGTTTGCAAAATCAACTCAGTTGGTAAGCTGTCTCGATGTCCGTATCGTCGCCTTTAACTTTGAAAAATTCAAGCATGATAGTAGAAAAACTTATTTCTAACATGTTGATGAAATTTTTCTATTCTTTTTCTTTCTTCTTCTTCTTCTTCTTCCCTTTTTTCTCTCTTCATTTTTCTCTCTGGTTCGTTTTCTTTTGAGTATGTGTTGTGTGTGTTTTTATGAATTTAGATTGTGTGTGTGTCTATATATATTCAAATGGGAATGGATTTGTTTTGGGCACCGCCTGCCATTTTCTTTTTCTTGTTTTTTTTTGTTTGACAAGTTTGACTTTTTTTATTATTACTATTTTTATTTTTAATTTAAGGTATTACACTACTAAACCGGCATATCATCAAAAGATGCAACACCCATGTGAACAGTATGCTCATGAAAAACCTTGGGTGATAGCTTCTTAGTAAGCGGATCCGCAATTATAGAGTTTATTCTAATTATTCCATAGAAGCCTGAACACTTTGAATTATTTTTTAACAATTAGGAACTTAATGTCTATAAATTTGGACAACATCAAGCTTCTGTTGGAATACAAGACTGTTATTGTCATAGAATAACTAAAGTGGTATTTCAATTCCATTCAAAATGTGCTGCCCAATGACAGATTTCTGTAGCCATATTACATAATCAAAGACAGATTGGTCCGATTTCTTGAATGTGATCATGTAATCCTTAGTTCTCTATAGATACCGAATAATTTAATTGGCTGCTTTCCAAATATCCATCATAGAGTTACTTAAATATTTGCCTAGCATTCCAACAATGAATGCTATATCTGTAGTGTACAAACCTAAGCATACATTAAACTTCCAACTGTTGAAGCATAGGAAATTTTCCGTATTTTCATTTCTTTCAATTTATCCTTGGGATATTAATTGAGAGTTGACTTGTCTCCCTTAGTAATAGAAGTATCCCCTGATTTACATACTTGCATCTCAAATCATTTAAGGACTTTATCAATATAATTCTTTTTTGATAATCCAAATATACTCCGAGAACGATCTTGGCATATTTGTATTCCTGACACAAAAGAGGTGTCACCAAGAGATTTCATTTCAAAATTTCATGATAGAAATCTTTTGGTTTTGTCCAATAATCCTATATCATTGCAGGTAGTATGTCATTGACATTGAACACCGGAAAATATATTTACTCCCACAAAACTTGTAATATGCACAATCATCAACTTAATTCATCTCAAAATCAAATGAGATAATTATTTGATGAAATTTGTGATACCATTGACAAGAAATCTATTTAAGCCTATAGATAGAATTTTTTAATTTGTAAACCATCAGATGTAGCTTAAGATTAAATGCCATAATAGTCCTATAAGAGTCTTTCGTAGAAACCAGAGAGAAAATCTCTTTAAAGTCAATGCTTTCCTTTTGAATAAAATCATTTACAAAAAGACGAGCCTTATATTTTCCCACATCACCCTTCAAATCCCTTTTGATTTTAAATATACATTTACAACCAATGGGTTTCGCACCTTCGGACAATAGGATGAGTTCTAAACGTCATTATTACTCATGAACTTTATTCTTTATTCATGAAATCAATCCATTCTTAAGAATTATTCCTTTGCATTGTATGATAAAAGTTGATTGATCAGGTCTTCTTCCATCAATACAATGCTATCCTTATTTTCTTGGAGGAAGAGCATAAAATTATTCAAATTGCCTTTCTCTTTTCTTTAGTGGATTTTCTTAATGACATTTGTTCTTAAGGTTGTTGAGTTTGTTCTTCTAAAAAAATCTTTTGATTGTGTATGAGAGATTTTATAATATTGTCTTATCCGAAATTGTTTCTTGAACAAGTTGTGGAGCAAGAATTTGTCCCTGGTCCATAGGGATGTCAACGAGCTGAAACTTGAGGCTTGGGCTCGGCTCGAGCAAAATCAAAAGAGCTTTTTCGAGCCCGAGCCCAGGCAAAAGCTCGGCTGAAAAAACAAGGCTAGGCTTGAGCTTCAGGCTCGGGCCTTGTTGAGCCGCGCCAACTCGATTTTTTTAATACAAGATTACGAATCTAACATTTTCTTAAAAAATTAAAAATTGCATAATTTATACGAGTTACAAATCAAATAAAAATTACAATTTATAAAATTTCATTACAAATTAAATAAAAATTACAACTTACAACCCTCTTCCTTTTTTCGGGTTTGGGACCGGTTACATGACGTAGGCGGAGTTAAAATTGTACACGAATAAAATATTTCATGTACAATTTTTCTTGAAGCAAATAAATTTAAAAATTACATATTGTTTTGAAATAATTTATTTTAAAAACTTACAATATTCTATATTTGGATCTGCTACAACTTTTCAGCCAGTATACTGTCAACATGTTTTTGAACACGTAATTCTGCACATTCCTAATCCTTCAAGCATATTAAAGCCTTCAATATATCTTCTTTTAGACTTGAACGTTCGTCTGATAAAATTCGACCACCTAAACTGAATGCAGCCTCCGATGCTATCATAGACACCGGAGGTGTTAGTAGATCACGTGCAATTTTTGATACAATTGGATACTGTCTTTTATTACACCTTCACCAATTTAGAAGACTAAATTCCTATAATTCCTTTTCAGGTAACAAACTACGAACATCCACGCACATATACTTAGCTAACTCGAGGAAATTTCAAAATTA